AAAGGGCCACGAATTTAGGGTTGATGCCCACCAGAATGGCATACTCGCCCCTATGGGTTTTAGTTTTTTTCTTGCCAGCTAGCCTGCCCGAATGTTGTCAGCCATTTTCAGTAGCACTACAGATCCCACAATATCGCAGGAAAACAGAGTTCAGTAGCCCCAAAGTGACGGAGCAAGGAGATTGTGACGCGTGGTCTTCTGTGGTGCGAACTAACCTCAAAGAACAAAAAACTGGCCCGGGAGGGTTGGAACAATGAGAAACCCTTCCGTGAAAGGGCTAAATGTTACTCAAAAGAGTAAAACTCCAGTAAGGGTTACCGCTAACCTAAAAACCCTTTCCAACGGGTTTTTAGATTACCGGTAACCCTTACTAGCGTTTTACTCTTTGGGATCACGTTTAGCCCCTATTACGGAAGGGTTTCTCGCCGATCAAACCCCCCAGGGACAGTTTTTTGTTCTTCGAGGTTAGTTCTCTCCACAGCGAACCACGTGTAACAATCTCCTTCATCTTGGGCAGAGGGCAGAAACAATAAAACCCTTATGGGCCTGGCATGGCATTCTGGATGGCATCAACCCTAAACTCGCAAAAGGGCCACGAATTTAGGGTTGATGCCCACCAGAATGGCATACTCGCCCCTATGGGTTTTAGTTTTTTTCTTGCCAGCTAGCCTGCCCGAATGTTGTCAGCCATTTTCAGTAGCACTACAGATCCCACAATATCGCAGGAAAACAGAGTTCAGTAGCCCCAAAGTGACGGAGCAAGGAGATTGTGACGCGTGGTCTTCTGTGGTGCGAACTAACCTCAAAGAACAAAAAACTGGCCCGGGAGGGTTGGAACAATGAGAAACCCTTCCGTGAAAGGGCTAAATGTTACTCAAAAGAGTAAAACTCCAGTAAGGGTTACCGCTAACCTAAAAACCCTTTCCAACGGGTTTTTAGATTACCGGTAACCCTTACTAGCGTTTTACTCTTTGGGATCACGTTTAGCCCCTATTACGGAAGGGTTTCTCGCCGATCAAACCCCCAGGGACAGTTTTTTGTTCTTCGAGGTTAGTTCTCTCCACAGCGAACCACGTGTAACAATCTCCTTCATCTTGGGCAGAGGGCAGAAACAATAAAACCCTTATGGGCCTGGCATGGCATTCTGGATGGCATCAACCCTAAACTCGCAAAAGGGCCACGAATTTAGGGTTGATGCCCACCAGAATGGCATACTCGCCCCTATGGGTTTTAGTTTTTTTCTTGCCAGCTAGCCTGCCCGAATGTTGTCAGCCATTTTCAGTAGCACTACAGATCCCACAATATCGCAGGAAAACAGAGTTCAGTAGCCCCAAAGTGACGGAGCAAGGAGATTGTGACGCGTGGTCTTCTGTGGTGCGAACTAACCTCAAAGAACAAAAAACTGGCCCGGGAGGGTTGGAACAATGAGAAACCCTTCCGTGAAAGGGCTAAATGTTACTCAAAAGAGTAAAACTCCAGTAAGGGTTACCGCTAACCTAAAAACCCTTTCCAACGGGTTTTTAGATTACCGGTAACCCTTACTAGCGTTTTACTCTTTGGGATCACGTTTAGCCCCTATTACGGAAGGGTTTCTCGCCGATCAAACCCCCCAGGGACAGTTTTTTGTTCTTCGAGGTTAGTTCTCTCCACAGCGAACCACGTGTAACAATCTCCTTCATCTTGGGCAGAGGGCAGAAACAATAAAACCCTTATGGGCCTGGCATGGCATTCTGGATGGCATCAACCCTAAACTCGCAAAAGGGCCACGAATTTAGGGTTGATGCCCACCAGAATGGCATACTCGCCCCTATGGGTTTTAGTTTTTTTCTTGCCAGCTAGCCTGCCCGAATGTTGTCAGCCATTTTCAGTAGCACTACAGATCCCACAATATCGCAGGAAAACAGAGTTCAGTAGCCCCAAAGTGACGGAGCAAGGAGATTGTGACGCGTGGTCTTCTGTGGTGCGAACTAACCTCAAAGAACAAAAAACTGGCCCGGGAGGGTTGGAACAATGAGAAACCCTTCCGTGAAAGGGCTAAATGTTACTCAAAAGAGTAAAACTCCAGTAAGGGTTACCGCTAACCTAAAAACCCTTTCCAACGGGTTTTTAGATTACCGGTAACCCTTACTAGCGTTTTACTCTTTGGGATCACGTTTAGCCCCTATTACGGAAGGGTTTCTCGCCGATCAAACCCCCCAGGGACAGTTTTTTGTTCTTCGAGGTTAGTTCTCTCCACAGCGAACCACGTGTAACAATCTCCTTCATCTTGGGCAGAGGGCAGAAACAATAAAACCCTTATGGGCCTGGCATGGCATTCTGGATGGCATCAACCCTAAACTCGCAAAAGGGCCACGAATTTAGGGTTGATGCCCACCAGAATGGCATACTCGCCCCTATGGGTTTTAGTTTTTTTCTTGCCAGCTAGCCTGCCCGAATGTTGTCAGCCATTTTCAGTAGCACTACAGATCCCACAATATCGCAGGAAAACAGAGTTCAGTAGCCCCAAAGTGACGGAGCAAGGAGATTGTGACGCGTGGTCTTCTGTGGTGCGAACTAACCTCAAAGAACAAAAAACTGGCCCGGGAGGGTTGGAACAATGAGAAACCCTTCCGTGAAAGGGCTAAATGTTACTCAAAAGAGTAAAACTCCAGTAAGGGTTACCGCTAACCTAAAAACCCTTTCCAACGGGTTTTTAGATTACCGGTAACCCTTACTAGCGTTTTACTCTTTGGGATCACGTTTAGCCCCTATTACGGAAGGGTTTCTCGCCGATCAAACCCCCCAGGGACAGTTTTTTGTTCTTCGAGGTTAGTTCTCTCCACAGCGAACCACGTGTAACAATCTCCTTCATCTTGGGCAGAGGGCAGAAACAATAAAACCCTTATGGGCCTGGCATGGCATTCTGGATGGCATCAACCCTAAACTCGCAAAAGGGCCACGAATTTAGGGTTGATGCCCACCAGAATGGCATACTCGCCCCTATGGGTTTTAGTTTTTTTCTTGCCAGCTAGCCTGCCCGAATGTTGTCAGCCATTTTCAGTAGCACTACAGATCCCACAATATCGCAGGAAAACAGAGTTCAGTAGCCCCAAAGTGACGGAGCAAGGAGATTGTGACGCGTGGTCTTCTGTGGTGCGAACTAACCTCAAAGAACAAAAAACTGGCCCGGGAGGGTTGGAACAATGAGAAACCCTTCCGTGAAAGGGCTAAATGTTACTCAAAAGAGTAAAACTCCAGTAAGGGTTACCGCTAACCTAAAAACCCTTTCCAACGGGTTTTTAGATTACCGGTAACCCTTACTAGCGTTTTACTCTTTGGGATCACGTTTAGCCCCTATTACGGAAGGGTTTCTCGCCGATCAAACCCCCCAGGGACAGTTTTTTGTTCTTCGAGGTTAGTTCTCTCCACAGCGAACCACGTGTAACAATCTCCTTCATCTTGGGCAGAGGGCAGAAACAATAAAACCCTTATGGGCCTGGCATGGCATTCTGGATGGCATCAACCCTAAACTCGCAAAAGGGCCACGAATTTAGGGTTGATGCCCACCAGAATGGCATACTCGCCCCTATGGGTTTTAGTTTTTTTCTTGCCAGCTAGCCTGCCCGAATGTTGTCAGCCATTTTCAGTAGCACTACAGATCCCACAATATCGCAGGAAAACAGAGTTCAGTAGCCCCAAAGTGACGGAGCAAGGAGATTGTGACGCGTGGTCTTCTGTGGTGCGAACTAACCTCAAAGAACAAAAAACTGGCCCGGGAGGGTTGGAACAATGAGAAACCCTTCCGTGAAAGGGCTAAATGTTACTCAAAAGAGTAAAACTCCAGTAAGGGTTACCGCTAACCTAAAAACCCTTTCCAACGGGTTTTTAGATTACCGGTAACCCTTACTAGCGTTTTACTCTTTGGGATCACGTTTAGCCCCTATTACGGAAGGGTTTCTCGCCGATCAAACCCCCCAGGGACAGTTTTTTGTTCTTCGAGGTTAGTTCTCTCCACAGCGAACCACGTGTAACAATCTCCTTCATCTTGGGCAGAGGGCAGAAACAATAAAACCCTTATGGGCCTGGCATGGCATTCTGGATGGCATCAACCCTAAACTCGCAAAAGGGCCACGAATTTAGGGTTGATGCCCACCAGAATGGCATACTCGCCCCTATGGGTTTTAGTTTTTTTCTTGCCAGCTAGCCTGCCCGAATGTTGTCAGCCATTTTCAGTAGCACTACAGATCCCACAATATCGCAGGAAAACAGAGTTCAGTAGCCCCAAAGTGACGGAGCAAGGAGATTGTGACGCGTGGTCTTCTGTGGTGCGAACTAACCTCAAAGAACAAAAAACTGGCCCGGGAGGGTTGGAACAATGAGAAACCCTTCCGTGAAAGGGCTAAATGTTACTCAAAAGAGTAAAACTCCAGTAAGGGTTACCGCTAACCTAAAAACCCATTTCCAACCCTTCCTCTAATGTGCTCCAAGCTCTGCTCCTCACGAACTCCTCCCCCCAAACTGCCGCTTGCCATTTCCGCGCGCCATTCAACAAGAGAAACCTAGACTAGCTTACCATCTATTTTTGCTAAGTTCAGGGCCCTCGCCCATGTCCCTCCCCTTGCTGGCGAAATTCCGCGACGCGAAACGCGAAAGTATCGCGCGCGATATCTTTTTATTGCTTATCGCATTTTATCGCGCAAAGAATAGCGCGATAAAAACGCGATATCGCAAATATTGCGCGATATTATCGCATCGCATCGCCGCGATATTCTTTAAAAAAAAAAGATGAATCGCTATCGCAAAATGCGATATAACGCGATGCGATGCGATTTAACCATGTCTACTCACAGGGGGCACATGTCACGATTTTTTAGGCGCCTCAAAAACCAACGCAAGCATCACTCACAGGGGGCACATGTCGCGATTTTTTAGGCGCCTCAAAAACCAGCGCAAGCATCACTCACAGGGGCACATGTCACGATATTTTAGGCGCCTCAAAAACCAACGCAAGCATCACTCACAGGGGGCACATGTCTGCGTGCCATCGTCGTTGGTGAGGCTAACGAAGGGGGTGGGGCACAGACAAGAGTAGCCGCCTGAACCGTCGGGCACACACTCGCCGCCCCCACACGGCTTCTGGGGTGAGTCGCAGGGAGATGGCACTGAGGGGGAAGAGGGGAGGAGGAGAGGGAAGGCAAGGTGCAAGGTTACTCTCATCTGCCCTCACTGTCGGGAACACACGCTACACTCGCCACACGGCTTCTGAGGCGCGTCGCAGGGAGATGGCAGAGGGGGAGGAGGAGAGGGAAGGTATGCAAGTAGTACCTCGTACCCACACCTCCAGGCAGCGCCATGAGCGGAGGGGGGGGTGGTAGCGTATACACTCCTCCTCGTCCTCCTCTTTCTCCTCCTCCACACTCCCCTTCTCCACCAAAATGGGTTCGAACCGAGTTGATTTACCCTTCAATTTTACACGAAGGGTGACTTACCCTGAATAATGGCTTAACGGCAAACTCTCCTGAATAAATAGGTTCGTTAACCTACCCTGAATAAATCGGTACAAGGTTACTCACCCTGAATGATGGGATAGATAGCCGGCACAGCATGGATGCCGCATATGCCCGTGCCTCCTGCGAAGCTCATCCTCATGTGGCCCTGCGAGGGTAGGAGGGAGAGAGGGAGAGAGGGATAGAGGGATAGAGGGAGAGAGAAGAGAAGAGAGGGCATGGGGCGAGGCGAGAAAGAGAGAGAGAGGGATGGGGAGTCAGAGAGGAGGGAGGGAGAATTCTCCCTCCTTGAAGGGAGCATTGGCACAAGTATACTTGCCTGGTCCATCTCCTTCAGCAGAGCACCCTAGCCCCTCTTGTAACATCATAGCCCCTCTTGTAACCCTCTAGCCCTCCTGTAACACCCTAGCCCTCCTGTAACACCCTAGCCCTCCTGTAACACCCTAGATCCCCCCCTTCTTCGTCCACCCATTCTCTCACCTTCTCCCTCCGCTTATCGCCCAACGCACTAGTTGTGCATCATCCACTGTCCCTTCCCAACGCTTCCCTATTGTGTCCCCCATCCCCCCTTCTTCCCCCTCCCCTTCTCTCACCTTCCCCCCCTGCGTGTCGCAGCACAAGTTGCACACAATCTAGCGGCCCTCCCCAATACTTCCTCATTGTAACCCCCCTAGATTCCGGCTTCTCCCCCCTCCCCCCCCCCCTCACCTTCTCCCCCCACTTAGTGCCCCACGAGTTGCGCACGATCCAGTGGCCCTCCCCGTCCGGCCCTGTGAAGCTGTACCCCACCACCAGCACCGAGTGGTCCACAATGCCCGCTGCCGCGCACTTGGGGTCGCTGTATACGCCCTGGGGAGGAGAGACAAAAGGGATTAAAGAAGTGGAGGGAAGACGGGACGGGAGTGAACGAAGCCGTGCCCCACCACCAGCACCGAGTGGTCCACAATGCCTGCTGTGGCGCACTTGGGGTCGTTGTATGCGCCCTGACGTTGCATAGGGGGTAGAGGGAAGCAGGGCGAGAAAGGAGTGAGGGCAATGAGGGGGAAGGCAGGGCGGAAGGGGTAGGTAGGTGCCTCAAGAGCAGGGTGACCAAAGGACCAAGAGGGAGCTAATACAGCAGACTCACTGCTGCCTTGTACTTCTGCAAGGAGGAGTAGCTGCCTCGCACGAACGCATTCCGAGCGTGCTAACCATTTGCATATTCTAGAACCATCTGTGACCCTGCTGCAAGGGGATTGCTACACACTCACTCACCGCCCTGTATTTCTGGAAGGAGGGGTAGCTGCCTCGCACAAACGCAATGACCGGCTGCACCTGCACCGCCAGCAGAAGCCCGATCCAGCCATAGTAGTCCACCTGCTCGTAGCGTGCTAGGCCCACTGGTGTGGAGGAGGCGGCGATCTAGGGGGGGGAGGGTGGGGGGAGGAGGAGGGGGCCGGAGGTTGGGGATGATGGGGAGGAGGGCGGAGAGAGGGTGGGGGGAGGGCGGGGAAGGAGGGCGGTTAAATAGAGTGAGGGTGGGAGGGTCCAGAGGCACCTGCAGCAAGCCATGCCCTCTTGCTCTTAGCGCACAATTCCACATGAAATCGTGCAGCTGCACAATTCCTTCTGCTCTTAGCGCACTGACCAATCAACCCTGCCCTGATGGGTCATTCTACCTTGCCCGTGTTGCACTGACTTGCTTGCCCCAGTCCGGGTACGCTTGCTCTGCCACGAGCTCCCCTTGGTCCCTGAATCAGGTTACCTTGCACATGTTCCAGCAGGGTTGCTTGCCCTTACACGGGCAGGCTTGTTCGTGACCAGCCCGTGCGAGCCCCTCTTGGTCGTGACTAGCCCGTTCGAGCCCCTCTTGGTCGTGACTAGCCCATGCGAGCCCCTCTTTGTCGTGACTAGCCCGTGCGAGCCCCTCTTGGTCGTGACTAGCCCGTGCGAGCCCCTCTTGGTCGTGACTAGCCCATGCGAGCCCCTCTTTGTCGTGACTAGCCTGTGCGAGCGCCTCTTGGTCGTGACTAGCCCGTGCGAGCCCCTCTTGGTCGTGACTAGCCCGTGCGAGCCCCTCTTGGTCGTGACTAGCCCGTGCGAGCCCCTCTTGGTCGTGACTAGCCTGTGCGAGCCCCTCTTGGTCGTGACTAGCCCATGCGAGCCCCTCTTGGTCGTGACTAGCCCGTGCGAGCCCCTCTTGGTCGTGACTAGCCCGTGCGAGCCCCTCTTGGTCGTGACTAGCCCATGCGAGCCCCTCTTGGTCGTGACTAGCCCGTGCGAGCCCCTCTTGGTCGTGACTAGCCCGTGCGAGCCCCTCTTGGTCGTGACTAGCATCAACCATGAAGTCCAGGCTGATGTGGGCCACCCGCCCTGCGATTTTTTCAAATTCTCAAGAACCTATAATTGCCCCTAATGCCCTTGACTTGCTTCCCCTCACCTTGTCCCCTCCCCATTGTACTCTGTTATTTAATCACTTCTCTTAAGAGGAGCTTTTCAATGGATCAAGTATCGTTTTAATCGGAGCAAGAACGCGAAAGGTATGAACAATCAGAGTTCATAAGCATGTGTTCCATTTCGATAGCTACAATGTGAAGTTCTGGGAATGTCTCTATGCGAAGTAGGAATTATTGGAGTTTGGATTTTTGTCACCCTACTATACAACTGCAAATAGGTTGGAACAACCAAGCTATGTTGGCAAATGGTGCCAACTTGGTTGAATGGGTTGGAAAAAAACAAACGTCAAAGTTGGGGTTCTTTAGTGGAGAACTGTCTTCGAGCCTTCCCTTTCATCCCTCTCTTACTCCAACATTTTTCTTGCTCATTTAATTCTTTGTGAGATTCTTGGACCTTCTTGATTGAACTTTGAGATTTGAATTCACATTTTCCTACAACATACCTCCTAGCACTTCAACGTTTGTATCGCGACGAATAGTTGACTTTTCGAGCTGATTCCAATTGTAACGTTGCGAACTACGACATAACCGAAAGTCGTACACATTCCGCGGTTAGCTTTCCGTCGGCGGCATTTTGCAAAGAAACGGCTTTTTGATCCATAATTTTGATTCTACACTTTGAGTTATTTCGACTCCCTATTCTATTCCATAGACTCTGTCCTTGGACAATCAACACACTTGGCTTGCTTGCCCTCACCTTGTTCCCGCTGCACTTGGCTTGCTTGCCCTCACCTTATGCCCACTGCACTTGGCTTGCTTGCCCTCACCTTGTCCCCACTGCACTTGGCTTGCTTGCCCTTATAGGGGTAGGCTTGCTCCGGGACGAGCCCGCCTTGGTCCTGGGAGGCGTCAACCATGTAGTCCAAGGCTGATGTGGGCCACCCGCCCTTGCAGCTGCTGCTGCTGGGCTCGCAGTCAACCACCTGAAGCAGTAGGGAGGGGGAAAGAGAGGGGGGAGGGGTGTGGGTTGGTGGGTGGAGAGCGCGGCAACGATGTAATCCAGGGATGACGTGGCCCACACGCGTGCCATGCAACTGCTGTTCCTGGACTCGCAGTCAACCACCGGAAGAAGGAAGGACGGACGGAGCATGGAGGATGGAGGATAGAGGGTGGAGGATGGAGGATGGAGGGTTGAGGGTGGAGGGAGGGAGTTTGTGGCCATAATGGGGACGGCGACGATGATGGGGGCTTGCTAATGCAGTGAAGAATGGACAATCACACTGGCTGCTCATTGACAACAATAACAATGCATTTTTTTTCACGATACGCGTATGATGATGTGTATCATTAAATGGAGTCGGGATGTCGTGCACGCACCTGTTGCACTGAGATGTTAAAGATAGTGTCGTTGGACCCTATAGCGCTTGTGACTATAGCAAATGTGGCTTCCACTGCATTCACTGCTGTGATGGCCCACGATGACTCTGGGGAGGGGGGTTTGGCGGACAAGTGAAGAGGAGGGGAGTGCGAGAGAAGGGAAGAGGAGGGAAGTGACATAAGGCGACTCAAATCGTCCCACTGCATTCACTGCTGCGATGGCCCACGGTGACTCTGGGAAGGGGAGGAGAGAGTTGACTTTTGAGGCGCCTGGGAAGGGGAGGAGAGAGTGGGGGAGGAGTGAGTAGAGAAGCAGGGAGAAGCGGAACTGTGCTACGAAGCACCTGCAAACATCACACTGCGTTCACTACTGTGACAGCCCACCATGCATCCTCATGCCATGCATCCACGTGCCATGCCTCCACGTGCCATGCATCCACGTGCCATGCATCCTCATGCCATGCATCCACGTGCCATGCATCCTCATGCCATGCATGCACGTGCCATGCCTCCAAACCAGATAAAATGCACTGGCACACCATACATCTCCCTCGCTGCATGCTACAAACACACATGTTACTTACTGCATTTCTCCCTCGCTGCGCACGCTCTTGACCCCTTCCAGGTCCCGCCAGTCCACGTCGACCATCACGTGCCATCAGTACTCTTCTGCCGCCACAAATTGCACCCATGCGCCCGTGCACCCATGCATGCACCCATGCCCCCATGCACCCATGCGCCCATGCGCCCACACACGCCACTTACTGCACGCCCTCTCAGTGCGCACGCCCTTGACGCCGTCCAGGTCGCGCCAGTCCACGTCGACCAGCACGTGCCAGCATTGATCCACAGCCACACAATGCACCCAGCAGACCCATGCGCCCATGCGCACATGCACCCATGCGCCCATGCGCACATGCACCCATGCGCCCGTGCATCCCACTTACTGCACGCCCCCTCGCTGCGCACGCCCTTGACGCCGTCCAGGTCGCGCCAGTCCACGTCGACAAAGACGTGCCAGCACCCGCAGCTCTCGTCGTGCCCCATGCTCACGTAGCGCGACACGCGGTTCAAGTACTTCGGCTCTAGCAATGCCAGCCCCGGGACTGAGCTGCAGCTGTAGGCTGGGGAAGGGGGGCGGGGAGGAGGGGAGGGGGGGTGACAGGGGGATGGGGGGAGGGGAGGGAGAGAGTGATGAGGCGCCTCAGAATCACCCGCAGCTCTCGTCATACTCCATGCTCACGCAGCGCGAGACGCGGTTCAAGTAACTCGGCTCTAGCAATGCCAGCCTGGGGACCGAGCTGCAGCTGTAGGCAGCGGAGGGAGGGGAGGGGGGGGAAGGGGGCGGGGGTGAGGGGGGGAGGGAGGGGGGAGAGATGGGAGGAGGGAGGACGGGAATAGCGGGCTCTCGCCATGCCCCACGTGGCGCGAGACGCGGTTCAAGTTCTTGGGTTCTTGTAAGGCCCGCCCGGGGACGGAGCTCCCGCAGCTGGGGAGAGGGGGATGGAAGGGACGGGATGGGGGGGTGGGGGGAGGGGGAGGGGGAGGGGGAGGGGGAAGGAAACGGGACGAGGTGGGGGAGATACTGGACGGGATGGGGGGGGTGGGGGGGGGAGAGGGGAGGAAACGCGAGGGGATGATGGGAGGTGAGGCAGCAGGTCTTGAGATGCGTCAAGAGCACTGGCAGCTGTCGCCATGGCCCGTGCTCGCGCATCCGCGCCACGCGGTTAAGAGGGACGGAGAGGGACTAGCGGCTACTCGTGCAGCTGATGCCTTGACTGGAGCCAGCCAACTTGGCTGAAATAGAAAGGATTCCACGGACGCTTAGGCAATGCGTAAAGGCAGTTATGGATTGGGAAAGGTGGGGCTCAGAATCGGGGGAACGACCATGCGACAGCAGAAGGGAAGGATACTAAGCCGGCGACTAACCTGACACAATCGTCAGGCTGCTCGCGACGAGGAGAAGCGACAAGAAAATGGCATGACGGCGTCTCGGAGACGATGCGACATCGCAGAGCGACGGCGACGACCGCTGGCGACCGTCGCGGAATCTAGTAGGCAGCATCGCGCGACGACAGCCTGCGAAACGGAAGTCCGTTAGACGACGACAAGGTGAATACTGTCGCCACACTAACGTCGCGTTTACACTACTCGTCCAGTGGAACACTAATTATTTCAAATACTCGTACAAGTTGTACCGCGAACAAACTAATTTCGGCTGTTCGTCCATAAGCAGGCCTAAATCTGCTAAGGACGGCGGCAGGAGTTGCCTTGCTTGGCTCAAGGTCAAGGACGACCCGCTTACACGGGAAGTTGACGTTTATCGTCAAAACGGAAGGCACGGTGGAAAACAGTCAAATTTTGACGGGACAGTAACCACTACAGTACAGAGCTGTACAGAACAGTACACTACAAGGCTGGTCGGTGGACTGAGGGATTTCTTTTTGCTTTTTCTTTTTTTGGATGGACTGAGGGAGGGAGGGAGGGGAAGACTGGGGGAATGGTGGAACCCCATTGGTGGCGCTGCGGTCAACGTTCACGTCACGTTTGTCTGTAGTTCGCCCCACAGAGCTCGCTTTGTGCTGAAGGTCCCCCCACCCACTCCTCACCCACCCCCCCAACAACCAGGCCTCTCGATATCCTAGAGGTCACCCTGCAGTTTCCGAGTTTGCCCGGGATCCAACTCGTCCAGGCTGGGTAGCCCTAAAAAGTTTGAGCTTTAAGGATATCCCAGGAGGAAACCAGGTCCCCATTCCCACGGCAAAACGCGCGGACACGAGCCCCTCCCGTGGCTCGACAAATGAGCAGGTGCGCAGCGCGCACATAACAGACTGACACGCGAAAACAGCAGGGTAACCGAATTTCGCCCCGAAAAAAGTGGCCCCGCCCGCTTTCGCGAACACGCATTACGAGCCGCTACTTCACCCAGGGGGAGAAAAATGGAGGGCTCAATTTCGCCGTGCTTCGCAAGCGTCACGAAAGCCTGGTGAATGTAAGCGTTCTATTTTTCGCCAGCCAGGTTTTGGACGTTTCTGCCGTGTACATAATTTGTGCACGATTTTCGTTCGGTTCGGAAACGTGTGGCCCACGTCTGTGGGCACGTTTGGAGGGTGTCCGCCAAAACTGTCAATTTATCGTGCGTGTCCGAATGGACTCGAAATTTCGAGTTACCAGGTCAAAATTTTGTACCTGATATGCCAAGTGAATAGTAAACGAACGTACTGAACAAGCCCTCAGCTACACCTGACAATGACAAGGGGAGAGATTTTTACTAGGGGCCCGAACATTGACACTAGATTTTACATGGCGGGTCTATCCCGTACTCGGAAATTGGCCGTGGGATAATTCTGGCTTGCCTGTCCATGGACGGGTATCGATATTCTGAATGCGTCAAAAGCAGGGCTAGGTTAAAATTTCACTGTTTTCCTTGATCAAGCAGTGTAATTACCCTGACTTCCAGAGGCCTGCCCCCAACCCCTGGAGAAAACATGATCAGTGGGCGCTCTACCAATCGGCGGGGTCGGGGGAGGGAACGAACTCAGTGCATGGTATACAGGATGCGCAACCCATCGAAGCTGCGCGGCCCTGTCTGGTTACCGGACTCGCCGAACCTAGCATGGTGAGTGAAAGATGGTTTAAAGCGAGGGTCTCAAGAAGCAAAAAACCAAACCCTAAGGTTTTGGTTTCGGGGGGTCTCGAAAATCGCGAGGTGTGGTAAGGGGTGCTGGTTGGGCGCTGTAACTGTTTCGCAAAGTTCGTCAGCCCAAAACCAAAACCTTTGGATTTGGTTTTCTGCTTCTTGAGACCCTCGCTTTAAGCTGATTTTGGTTGGATTCGGTTGGTTCTTTCCCCAGTTGCGCAGCCCAAGTTGCGGTTTCGAGGCAAAGCGCAACCCATTTACCACGCAACGCGCAGGGAGTGGTTCGAAGGCGGGGAGAGAGGGCGTTTTGGTTTGGCTTGGCTTGGGGACGCGGGACGCGGGACCAGGCTGGAGGGCGTTGCTGGGGAAGAGAGTGACATGGCTTGGTTCTGTCGTATCTGGGTCGGCTCAACTGTACAGTACATAACTTTTTCGAGGACAAATCTGTACCACTGGAGAGACCGCCTCCGAAAGTTCTGAACGCACCGAAGCGGAACCTTCTGCATCTTAACAAAACGCACTATACCGTCTTGCACATGAAACACCCCCAACGTGGTCAACGTATTTCTCCAAGGTTCCAGCGTCCGAACGAACATTCAGACGCTTCACGAAGAATCACGAGCTTCGACACCATGAGCCTAGAGCCACACCCGTTCGCACCCCCTGGTATGGCGTAAACTCCGCTCGTTTCTGGTGACAGGGTTCCAATTTGCGACTTTCGCCGAGTCATTTATTCAGCTCAATTTGCTGGGGAGTCATGCAACACAACATAATTACACATTTACATACTGCACTGCACTGCAATTCCATAAAACCAGGATGTTAACATCACCAATCTTCTAGTACCCTTACCTCTGTGTGCACAGCCCCATTCCCACATAAAGCCTATCATTGTTGCACACATAGCCACTGTTCAAATCCGACATCTTCCGTGCACTATTCTGGAACTTGAGCGCAATAATCCGCGCACAGAAGTCCCCCCGTTGCACATAGTAATACGCCTTGCACTTAGGCTTGGTGCGCTGCTTCGCTACTAGAAGCCTCTTATGGAGGAGCCTCTTGTGGAGGATCATAGACGCCATCTGTTGGCTGCCATGGTGGTTGCTCCTGCCTGGCCCCGAGGCTGCTATCTGAGTCAAGAACTCGTGCATCCACTGCTGCCACGACTGCTGCTGCTGCTGTGGCTGCTGCTGCTGCTGCCAGCTCTGCCAGCGCCGGTTCACAGCCACAGGCATCACAGGGTCAGGATCAGCATCATCATTGCTGCCCCACCTGTCCCCGCGCAGCCATGCTCCATTGGGGCTCTCAGGCCTGCCCTGCATGGCCACCTGGGGGTTCAGACTCCTGAGGGAGCGCGCAGGAGCCGGGCCAGTGGCGTTCACTGTGTAGCCAGAGACGCACACCTGGGGTGAAAGGAGGGAAGGGGGGGGAGAGAAACGGGAAGCCAGCAATAAGGAGTGCTACTAAGTGTGGCCCTTCCCTTGTGGCCCTTCCCATTCCCTCATGCTCGTTGTTCCACCGCTTTTTAAGGGCAGCGTAGCGCAGCTGAGGCCCGGGGTGGGCCAGTAGAGGGGGGAGAACTTAAGGCATGCATGCACCTTAAGCCCGGCACATGCATGCATCACAACTGACTTAGAAGCCCAAGGCATGGTTTACCTGAGTGCCACTAAGAGAGGGTCCGCCCTACTGATCGGCCGTTGAATCGTCTGGCCCACTCAGGTAGGGGAAGAGCGACGCGCAGCTGAGGCCCAGGTTGAGGGTGTAGAAGGAGAGCGCGGATAGCTTGAAGCGCTAAGCCCATTGGACTCTTTACCGAGTGCCAAGGGTCCTCCCTCTTAGTCGGCCGTAGAGTCGTCCGGCCCACTCAGGTAGGGGAAGAGGGACGGGCAGCTGCGGCCCGGGTTGAGCGAGTCGAAGGAGAGGGTGGAGAGCTTGAAGCACTAAGCCCAATGGACTCTTTACCTGAGTGCCGCTAAGGGAGGCTCCTCCCTCTTGGTCGGCCGTAGAATCGTCCGGCCCACTCAGGTAGGGGAAGAGCGACGCGCAGCTGAGGCCCGGGTTGAGCGTGTAGAAGGAGATCGCGGAGAGCTTGAAGCGCGCCATGACCTTGTCGCAGTCGTCCCCCGGTGCCACTGTGTAGAACAGCGTACACACAGGCATGTCCGCACCGTTGCCCTCTTGCACGCACACCTGAAATGGTCATGTTGATCAGCAAGAGCAGGAGACTAGAGGGTATAAGCGGAGGTGCTGCTTGAATGGTGCCATGACCTTGTCGCAGTCGTCCCCCGGTGCTACCGCGTAGAGGTGCGTGCACACTGGCATGTCGGCCCCGTTGCCCTCTTGCACGCACACCTGGTGGGTAGGGGTGGGTAGGGGTGGGCAGGGGAGGTATGGCAGGGATGGGGGAGAAGGCGTGGGTGTTCCCCGCTCCATGGCCTTCTTGCCGTCACCGCCCAGCGCCACTGTGTAGAACAGCGTGCACACCGGCATGTCCGCGCCGTTGCCCTCTTGCACGCACACCTGAGACATTGGGATGGGAAACACGTGGGACAGATGGAAGGTAAGAAAGTTATGGGAAGGATGGGAACGATGGGAAATGTATGGGAAAGGTAGGAAAGATATGGGAGGGATGGGGAAGATATGGGAGGGATGGGGAAGATATGGGAGGGATGGGGAAGATATGGGAGGGATGGGGAAGATATGGGAGGGATGGGGAAGATATGGGAGGGATGGGGGTCGCCCAGCTGTAGCATGTAGAACTGTGTGCACATGGGCAGGTCAGCGCCGTTGCCTTCGTGCACGCAGATCTGAGAAATATGTATTGGAGAACATGGGAAGGACGAGTGAGAAACATGGGAAGGACGAGTGAGAAACATGGGAGGGACGAGTGAGATGAGCATCAAATGGGACTACTGAACCTGCTGGTTAGGTGTGGCTGTCAATACTTGCTGGTTAAGTGTAGCACCGCACGCCCAGGTTGAGGCTTTCCAATCGAGGCACTCTGGCGTTGTCAGGAAAGGAAATCGAATCACCTGCCAGCTGTCCGATCCTGCCAGCTGTCCGATCCTGCTAGCTGTCTGATCCTGCTAGCTGTCCGATCCTGCCAGCTGTCCGATCCTGCTAGCTGTCCGATCCTGCTAGCTGTCCGATCCTGCTAGCTGTCCGAACCTGCTACGTATCCCAACATGCGTGGCATCCATGGACCATACCTGCTGGTTAGGTGTGGGGAGCCTGATCTTCCCGGAGCACCGCACGCCCGGGTTGAGCCTTTGCAGCTCGGCCACTGTGAGGTCAAAGCCATCCGCTACTGCTGCACATGTGTCGTTCTGTGATTGGCGGAGGGGGGGCAAGGGGTGGGGTGGGGGGGGAAGGGAGGGGTGAGGGGCAACGGGAGGAGAGCGCACCAGGATCACAGGTGGGGATTTGATGGAGGAATGGGAGTGAGAGAGAGAGAGATGCCAGTTTGCGGATGGAGGGAGGGAGTGAGGAAATGTGAGAGTGCATGAGACATCAAGAGAGGAGGCGATCAGCAGGAGGGAGACTCACGGAGGGCCAGGAGCAGAAGAGGCCGCAGACGACAGTAGAGGAGGGCAGAGGGACGTTGAGGATAGCAACAAGAGAGAGGAGATGAGGACCTATGTGGCGCCATACGCCCATATTCCCTCGTAGGTGAGGAGATGAGGCCCTCCTCT